TCTGTCATAACATATACTCTGATTTACTCTATAAAAGGAATGGTATGCACGTATAGCCTTAGCCTAACGTCAGATTTTACTCATTTCAAGTTCTTACCAAGTACATATTTGCCTCTGCTTGTACTTAGATATTTAGCACCATTGACTTATTTATTTAGCTTTGTATCATTATCACGACGCAACCGTTGACGCTGTGTCGTGACAACATTCTGAAGACGTTTCCCTCTTTTTCAAAAGCGGTCATTATACTTTTGAGACAGTATATAGGTACCTCTAGAAACGGCATGCATTTGGGAAGTGTCTTTCACACTAGCACCCGCCATACGGGCATCAACAATTTGGTTCTCTTTGTAAGTCAGAGAGGTTTTCCGTTTATAGGCTATAGATTAGGTTACAGACACAAAAAAATTACTTTAAATATGTCCTTCAATGTTGAGAGAAGGGCGAAGCGCAAAGAGAAGGGCGCTACGGGTGCGCGAGACGTGTAGGGCGTGGGGGCGCGTATACACCAGCAGGAAAAGCTTCCTACACGGCACACCGCAGTCCTCTAGCAACGCCACGGGCAGCCAGGATGTCGTCAGAGACAGGGATAGCCTCCCCATTAATTAATTTAACATTAATTAATTAACTGGGCCACCCGGGCAGGGTGGCCCAGTTGTTAAAGTTCAGAGTACCAGGATTGGCGCAGAGAGGCGCGGGTTCGATCCCAGCTCTGTGCGCCAGTTTCTGGTCAGAATCGGCAAGGAGGCCGGGCGGTTAAGGGGATCGACCTGGCATTTTGAAAACTTCTACAGTTATTATCCGATTGTCATGAAACTTCACATACATACGTAAAATGTGAAAATAAAAACATTTTGCTCATATGAATTTTTCGAAAAAATTGATAGAAAACGTGAAATTCATAGAAAACGGCTAAAAAGGGGTACTTCAGAGTACTTCAGAAAATCTATCTCCTCCCACAAATATCATCCTACAACATCGAGACACGTATCATTCGATTCGTAAAGACCATATCTATCGACTCTATCATTCCTTTTTTTCATTTTCCACCTAGTTTTTTTTATGACGTTTTTTCCCATTTTTACACATTTTTACATTTTTCACCCCTCCCCGCCCCCTTCTTCCCCATATAAAAAACGAACCAGACCGAAATTCAAAAAAAGGAATGATGAAGTCGATAGGCCTGGTCTTTACGAATCGAACGGTATATGTCTCATTGCTGTAGCTTGAAAACTCTAGGAGGAGATAGGTTTTCCGTGACAATAAGTGTGAATGTTGAGGAGAGCGCGACAAAGTCCCGCGCGCCTCGAAATAGGCACTCAATGTAGCAAGGCTTCCGAACTGCTGGCTTCTGAAGCTTAGTCCACTCAAGGAAGCCAGCAGCAACTTGTAGCGCACCTCTCCGTACGAAGTTAGGAGGGTGACTGAAGCCAGTTGCCAGATACTGCTATTTATGTAGTCATGGCGCCGTAATTTTAGCAGGGCTATAATGTTAAGGAACCCCACCCCCCGCCCCCCCTTAAAGGGCGGCCATGTGCGTCAATTTTGGCCTACATACATCGCAGTAGTATCATTTTAAAGCTCAGAATGTCAGCTTTAGGATGAAACTAAGCAAGTAACTGCAGCACAACTCAGGTAGAAACTATATTCAAAGATTTCAGCATTTATTTACTTTGTATCTAATTTCTTAAAGAACTCTCCCACCCGCCTCCGTTTAAAGAGCCGTCATGAACGTAAATATTCACGTAGAGAGATGGCAGTGGTACCATTTGAAAGAGCAGAATTCCAGCTTTAAGATGAGTAGAAAAACCGGAAAAGCCAAAATTGATCGATTTTAGCCAGGTCGATCCCCTTCACAGCAGAATTGGAGCAGTGAGTTGCGAGGTCGAGACCGCAAAATGCAGTGAATGTTCTGCGATGTTAAGAATCGGCGACAGGCCTACGGCCTAATAACGCTGAAACCGCTATTATTATTATTGTTAATTAAATTTTCCATATGCACAAGCAAGCGCTTCTTAGTCACTAACTTAATTTCGTTATTACGCATAGTATTCATATATATTGAGCGGACAAGAAATGGAGACGTTCATTTAAATCTTAACTTTAGGCATATGGAAAATCACACAATTCAATACGAACGAAATTGTTATCGAGTTTCAACTTAGAGAAGATATTTACACAGGACTTCTTACTGAGCTTCCAGATGTTGGAAGCTCACGGCTGACTAACATCTGGAAGCTCACTAAAAAGTCCGGTGTAAATATCTTCTCTAAGTTGAAACTCGATAACATTTTCGTTCTTCTTGAATTGTGCGGTTTTCATATGTTTCAAGTTAAGCTTGAAATGAATGTTTCCATTTAATGTCAGCTTAATATATATGAATGTGCGTAATAACGAAATTCGGTTAGTGACCAAGAAGCGCTTGCTGGTGCAGGTTGCAAGTGCAATAGCTGGTGATTGACAGGCAGCATCGCGTGACTTGGTGCAAGGTGCCCAATGCAGACAAGCTGGGTCAACCTTTTCACGAAGGTGAGACGCGGTAATAGCTTGGATATATGCAAATTGTGTGGGTATTACTAGTCATTTGAAGCACTTCCTTGCCGTTTGCGCCACATTAAAGCGGAATCCATACGAGCAGCAAACTTTAGCTCAGCAACTACGGGAACAACATTCGGGAGGGGGGGAGAAGGGTTTAATAACAGCTACTTAATACGCTAGCGCATTAATACGCTAGCGCAGGCCGGCGCATCAATGTGCGGCCAACGAGTGTACCTTACAAGTGGAAGTTTCTTTGGTGTACTCATAACTGGTATAGCGAACTTTTTTCAAAGCATGATCAGCCTTAAAGTTGATTCGCCATTTTTTAAAAGAGTTATTTCTTACCTGGGACTAATAAATAAATTTCTTCATTAATCATTCCAACCTAAGTGTCGTCGTGAGAAAACGATTGCTGTCGCATGGATGATGTCACGGTGACGATGTTCAATGGTGGATGGACATAGTGCGTTAAATATCAATCTTCTACAAGTGGACAAATTCAGCCGCTGTGGACCGTGAAGCAAAATAATACAAACTTCAAAAGAGTTTATTCAAAATATAGAATTTAATAATCAGTTTGAAGTAATGTACTCTGAGTTTCGTATTCCGCAGATCGCGCAAGACTCCGGCAGGCTGCAGAAGTTAGAGGCGCAAGATAGCGGTCACGCCAGACTCGGGCAAATATACCCTCACCAGCGTCTGCCTGCCGTCTGGCGGCTCTGCCGTATCACCTCAACCCAGTGAAAATTTACAGTCGCGGCAGCTTCTGATTTCGATTAACAGAAGCTGGGGCGAATCTAAATTTTGTTAGGTAAGTTTGTAGTGCATGTTGAGTAGTTCAAAAACTTCGTTGTTTTTTATATTAATTTCAGCATGATATTCCTTTTCGCCAAATTTTGTTTGAATGACGGAATAATTGCAAAAAAAATGCTAATTTCGAATCGTCTGATGTTATTGGTTGACGTCCTTGCGTACACCGTTTAATTAAAACAACAATAACACAATATTAAAATAAAAATAGCTTCATCCACGTTATTCGAAAGATTTTTAGCGCTTTTTTCCTTATTTTTGCAAACAGTAAATTCTATAAATTATTGAAAACTGTTATTTTATCCGATGGGTATCGCTTAAGATACTTGAGCTGAAATTTGAAAATCACTGCTATATTTTCGTCCAAGACGGTGACTGCAGAACACGAAAAAGATAATTAGATCTCATTTTTAGATGCATATAGACAGAGGAGACTGCAATGCTGGGCCGAAAAGTTTTTTTTTCACAAATTTCAATTTTGTTTTTGGCTTGGCCAAAATTTCGCAATGACTACTATAACACGAAATTTGACATGTGAAAATTATATTAAGAGGATGTCTGTCAAAAGTTCGCTACTTTAAAAGATGCATGCAGAAAGACACCACTATAAACAATGTATGTAAAGCGAAGAAAGCTATAACCCGACGTTGGCTCTGAGATGAGAGCTCAAGTTTTCATATGAGCTCCTGCTCATATGAGAACTACCATATTCGCCAAGTGGAGGCTACATCCACACAAAATTTGCCCAGAGGCGGCTACTGCTACACCATCTACAGCCAGAGGACAGTCGCCACGTATCGCAGGAGGAGCGATAACAACACCCGCAGGGAGCTGAGGTTCGGAGAGTTCGTGCCGTAGCTGCTGGACGCAAACGAGGAGCTCTATGATGCCCACTGGTAGCCTATCTTCATACTCTGATCGCCCTGCCTCATCAAGTTAGTCAGTTTGTACTCAGCGCCAAAAATATAATAAATTTATGGAAATTGGTGTGAAGTTAAGGCCGCTATTTCCTGCCAGGATTCAAAATTATACTTCCATTTTTACGACAATTTTGGTTCATTTTACGATCAGTACCGTATATGACTATAAAAATTTATAACGAGCTGACTATGTGTCTTTCCAATACGAGATTCAAGCATAACACATTTATAACAAATCGGATAAAATAAATTAAATGCTTGACGATTGGTTAAAATCCTAGCACCATAAAACGTGTTAAGAAAGTAAAGTGTTTGCAAGTCTATCTGAGACGGATCTGTCGCAGGTACGATATCATCACGACCATGGAGATTGTGGCGCAGGACTCAGAATTTATGCTTCGGCACCGCAGGCTGAAGCAACTCTGACACCTCGCCAGACCCTAATACAGAAAGCTCCTGCCCTCAGGTGCCGTGTCTTACTACCAGCAGCTCCTGCCCTCAGGTGCCGTGTCTTACTACCAATGTTCGAGTACAACCCTGTTCTGTTGTTCGAGTACAACCCTGTTCTGTTGTTCGAGTACAACCCTGTTCTGTTGTTCGAGTACAACCCTGCGCTCTACTACGCCATCGTGGACGCCGCTGCTCTACGTGGGGCCTGCGAGACGGCGGAAGATATGAAGCAACTCAAGATAACCAAGTGCAACATGCAGATAAGAATGAAACACCCAACGAGAATTGATATTCTATTTGGTAGGGAATTTTATACATTATTATTATATTACTGCATGCTAATTTCCTTGTTGATCGCCAATTAAGAACAAATATTTTCATTACTGTTGTTTCAAAAAAGAATTAGTAAGCAAATAGGATGACACTAACTAGTAAGTATTACAAGCTAGTTAGTCATCCCAGCTTCTGTCTGGTAACCTAACAATGCGAGCCGACTAGCTTGACAAATACTTGATAAAAAAGAAGAGAAAAAAAAATTCCGTGTAAATTTTTGTGAAGTAATGAATGTCTTACAAATCTGAATTTTATCAAAGCATAACTTAGTTTTTATTTCAAATGATAATTTGAAATAATCTAATCAAATGCTAATTTGAAATAATCGTTTTAAAATAGAATTGTAACTTTTCAGGATCTGATAAAAACTTCGTTGATTCAAAGCAATTACAATTTGAGAGGGGGAAATAATTGAATTCAAAGTTAAACCCATCATTGGAATAAAATACAAACGATAGTTAATACCAGTATTAAGGAATATAATCCTTTCATCAAACATGGGCCACTCATTTTGATACTTTAAATACATTGCCTCGACAGCCGTGACCAATGAAGGGTGGAAATAAATAATTTAAGTAGTTCAGTTCTTCTTAAGTCTTGAGATCCCAAGCACTGTCCCATCTCTTCCTGCCCTCCCGAGTGATGAGAGGGCGGTCGAGCTTGACATCAACCAACTCCTTGGGCTCCTCCAGCTGCTCAGGCTGCACTGCATACTCAGGGCTGTATAACAGCTCGGCGTCCTCCTGCACAACACCGTCACCAGCGTCGTCAAATGTGACCCAACATACACCATATGGAATTGAAAAGCGAAGAAAACACCAAGCAAAGTCACCATATCGATATTGAAAACGTTTCGGAGTCCAGCTCCATCATCAGTTCAAAAAACTAAAAATGAATAAAATCATATTATATCAAAATTCTAAGACAGACAGTCTTGTCTGTCTTAGATGAAGCTGGACTCCGATGGAGCTTAGAACTGATGATGGAGCCGGACTCCGAAACGTTTTCAATATCGATATGTAGAGTTTCAACAATTTTTCAAGTTTTCTAAAAACTTCCTTTTCAATTACACTTAGGCGTCGAATAATGATTCTGGATAAAAAAGACACGACAATATTAGACAGAGCAGTCTATATGCAAAAATTATCAGAGCTTTTGAGCGACCCTACCAAATTTTGTTCATGTAGTACTAACCAAACGCAAAAAGTTAAAGATGAGATTAACAACATTGCCAATAACCTGAAGCAAAATCACGCATCGTGGTACTGGAAAATCAAGCGGACTGGTGATTTCAACAACGGACATCTCTACGGGTTGCCAAAAATTCATAAAAATGTAGAAGATCCACCATTACGTCNATTCGACGCCTAAGTGTAATTGAAAAGGAAGTTTTTAGAAAACTTGAAAAATTGTTGAAACTCTATATAAAAATAAAGTCCGATTTATTATTTCTGAATATCGATATGGTGAATTTTCTTGGTGTTTTCTTTGATTTTAAATTCCTTGTGAACTTGCGATATAAGCAGACTGATAATGTAAGTACTAACATATACCATTAAATACTGCACGCTACTGAGAGCAGAGAACAAGTTTCACGGTCACTAGGCTTGGCAAAATAAGCGATAATGGAAGAGTATTAATTATTATGAATTAATAATTAATATTATACTAAAAAAAATTATGAATTAATGGAACACAACAGTGTTATTGACTTCCACTAATAACACAACGAGGTAGAGATAAGAAATGCTGAAGCAAATGAAAAGATAAGATAACCAGTTCAACTCAAAATTTGATACATCACCAGTTTTTGACAAGATATTCAAAATTCAGTACATCACCGCTATCAGATACTAAAATTATATTAAAATATATTAAATTACACATTATTATCCAAAATTGTTATACTCCAATAAACATATAATTTTAATCACAAATTCCTGCAAGAAATACCACAATGAAACAATCAACACTTTCGGCTGTTACACAGAGAAATTGTTGTTGGTAATTTTGAGCCAGTACTACATCACTGTGATCAGATTATAAAATTATATTATAATACGGTATGTTAAATTACACATTATTATCCAAATTGTTGTGCTCTAATAAACATATAATTTTAATCACAAATTCCTGCAAGAAATACCACAATGAAACAACCAACACTTTCGACTGTCACACAAAAATTTTTGTTGGTAATTTAGCGTGCATTTCATGCAGCACGTACAGTGAAGCGGCAGTGTGTTGGGTCGGCGTCCAAAGGAAGGTTGGCTGGGATCTTCACTGGCTTAATCTCAATCAAGTGCTTCACGGAATAGAGCTTCTCATTCATTTCTGGCACATTTTTAACAATCACAACATCTCCACACTGAAACAAAAATTCAAGTATGCATCTTAATTGTTAGGAAATATATTTCATAATATTTTGAAGTCGGCCAGTCTTGTTACATAAAAGTTTGAAGTAATTCACTCGAATGGAGCACTAGAATTTAGTGTCTATAGTACAGTACAAAATTACACATTTAAACAAAATGCTTCAGATTCATCAAGCAGCCTTGCCTTAGCAAATGTCAATAGTATATTAGACTATTAGTAGAGTATTAGACTATTAGTAGACTATTATTATTTCCCATCTATTTGGAAAATTTTAAGCTATTTCACACATCAATCATTAGAAATCCAGCAAAATGCTGTAATTATACACCAATTATTGTACCAATTTGATTAAAATTGTCTTCCCAGGAATTATTCTATGAATGGAGATTCTGAATTAAAGGAATGGTGGCAGACCAAAATTAAGGCATCAAACTAATCAAGAATCTACAGCCAATGAGAAATTACACATTAGGACACATAGATACACTCACACATAGTTAACTTACAGAAAAGCGATTGATAAGGCCAAGTTCTTCAAGTATTTCCCTGTACCACCACTCCATTCTTATACCAAATCTTGCTCGCCGCACCATGAAAAGAGGGGATATTTCTTCCTTAGGGAGAGTCTCCACATTGTCTGGATCACTGCAAGAATAAGCTTTACATTTTCAGAAAACAGAAGATAAGCCTTAATTGTACTTGACATGTAGAAATAAATTGCAATCAAATGGGACATCACTACAGCCTTCACAATACTAAATCCAAAGTCAGCTCATAAACCAATTCAAGTAAAAATTACAAAGTTTTTTTTTCAAGTGGAAGATAACATGGAATGAAACTCTTAAGTCGGCAAGCATAAAATGTATCATAAATATTGCAACAAACCTTTCCTGCAATTTCAAATTGACCAGCAATGACACTTACGCAGGATAATAATCAAATCCATAGTAGCGCAAGCCACCATCAGGTAACTTTTGAGGGTAGTCAATTAGAGGGTCGTCAGGTAAGGGGTGACTGCATTCTCCTGATGACCACAGTGCTTGGTCAACTCCTTTGTTGGCTTGCGGCTAGAACACATAAATGAGAACATGGAGGCAAACCTCAAGCAAGACTAGTCTGTGATAAGTAACTTCAAACATGAGAAAAATGGAAAAATTATTATTTATAACATATTGTATTTTTGTGAAATAATTAATTTATTAAGTATGCCATGATCACAAAAAAATGAATATATTATTCTGTTGCAACATTTTAAATTTAAATCAGTAGAAATGTATTTAATTTAGATTGCAGCCATTATATTACAACAAATTAGACGAGACAAATTTTGTTAATTTATTATTAATTAAGTAGTAATTTGTATTTCTCACAATAACAATTGGATTTGTTAGAAATTATATTTCATTAATATATTAGGGATGAAACAATTAAAAATATAGAACAGATTAACTAATAGAAACTTGATCAAGAAACTAACCTTGTATTCAAATTTTGCATATCTTGAAGGCCTAACACGAAACTTTGAAGGTACAAATCTTGGCACAATATACTTGTCAAAAGGCTTGGGTGTAGGAGGAGTTTTATTGCGCCGCACAACCTTATACCGAACTGGATTCAGGAGATGACTCTTTGGTACTGGTAGCACAGGACCAATTCTGCCTGACACTATACCAAAAATTTTTGGCAGGCAAGTTTGGAAAATTGCCATAATAAATTGTTTTGACCTGAAAATAGTTAAAATTGCATTGATATGGTGGAATTTGGGAAAATGTCACCATGTTTAGTAAGCAAGGTACTGTTTATATAAGGTATTTACATGTTATTTTGTAAAATGTGTCTGTCTGTGGCAAAGAACCTCACTGATCATCAGTCATTTTGATCATAATGCATGTGCATCCATGCCAATTGGCCAACACATTGCCCATAACAATCATGTTGAAGGTCTTTGCAAGGGCTATATTGTATGGAATCTCCAAAAAATTAGATATGCTATTGGTGAGGTGCCAGATGCAAAAAAGTGTCCCAAATTACCCCTGGGAACTGGGCAATTTGGGACACTAGCAATAAAACTTGATAAATGTTTGAACCACTTTCCTTACTAGGGCTAGACTAGACTATGTCTGTCCTAATTGTCCTTTTCCCTGCCTCTGAGCAGGTGCTAAGATCTCATTGTCAGAAATTAATTAGCTAAGAGAGAGATCAAAAGGGTTATTACCAGCAAGATAACCCCCAAAATCATTTCCTCTGGACAAGCCAGTCCTTTAGGGAGGCCAGCTCAGGCTGTTCTCCCAAAACCAAAGCTTGGAAATCAGTTAGGAATTCTGGATAGGTAACATGTTCTTACATTTATAGAAGAAAATGGATCGAAAAGCCCACCACGTTACACTTTCCACTGCAGTGACAATTGATACACTGAGCTGATCAGAAACTGCCGTGGTTTCAATATCACGCGTGGTTTGGAATCCAATACTAGGTCAGCGACATCTTACTCAATTACATTCAATTGTCGTTTATCCATAGCAGACAAATTTTTGCAATGAATTTGTTCTAATATAAAAAAAATATGTCAACATTTGCAGAAAATTCTCACTATTTCACCAATGCCAACAAAGTTTTCAAAACCACACGAAATGATATCACATTTCAAGACCCCACAATAAACTGCAAATATTTCACAGGCCACATGGCATAAGGCACTCGTGCCGTGATGTTAACAGAAGGCAAGATGCCATCGCCAAGACAGGGTGCAAACCTTGTTTTGGTAATGTCAAGTGTTACTTCACAATAAATAAATTTGATTTATATTTCACACTGAGATTTAAATGATGAAAAGTTGTTTCAAAACTTAACCCTTTCACGCCTGAATTATCTTGCGATCCAAAATAAAATATTTTTATGCTAAAAATGAGTTATTTAGGTGTTAAATATTACAGAAAGAACAATAGTTATGAAATATTCCTTTATTGGAAAAAGTTACAAAATGTTGCCTTTTGTCTACATCCGGCAGATATAGACAATTTCGAATGGCTACTTAGTATGGTATTGAACATAGCAAGATTTAGTTCTAGTAAGGCACAAACCTACATTACATTTGTTGCACATTACTTTAGTGAAACCTTTCACACAAAACTTGCATCTATGTTTTGTTTCAGCAATAAATGGCAAATGACCAATATTGTCGAAACGTACAGCGTCTAATGAATGTGAGAGAAGATACTCCAACACCAAGGTCATCATTTTTCTGAGATTTGCCTGTATATATCTCGAAGTCATAAACAAACCCACTTGATCCTGCTCGTGATATTACTTCGTATCCCCATTTGTGAGGTTTTTTTGGATTGTATTGTTTCAAAGATATGCGAGCTTTTGTGGGAATGATTTGCTCGTCTACTACTTGATGTTCTTCCTGTGATACCTTCCGGCAATTTGTTCTGACAGATTCAATTATGGGTCTTATTTTGAATAACTTGTCAAAATCGGGATCATCTCTGGTCTTCTGTTGCGTGTTGTCGTTGAAATGAATATATCTCTTTATCTCTTCAAACTTATCTCTACTCATGATAGTCAAGTGTTCTGTGTTAGATCTACTTGGTCCCGGCTGCTCATAAGACATGATGGATCTGCAATATAATATAAGGAATAACTACTTAGGACTACAAAAATATCATTGGTAATCAAGGAAATAGTTAGTGCTGCCACGGTGCTCTTTTACTCAGTTGTTTACCAACTTGTGAATTACTGCCGGATGTAGCAAATAAGCTACATATCATTTCAAAACCTTAGATTTCAAAATGTTCATGTTATATAATATTTTTGACAATTTAATATCTTACTATGCATCATTACCTATACAATGAGTATGATTTGCACTAAGATAATCATTTGGAAATATTTTCTATCGCGATATCAAATAATGAAAAAACAGCGTAACACTCACCAGACTCAGGAACGTGTTTTGACGCGTCTTCTCTCGATCATAGCTGTCATACTACTGACGCAACGAAGCAAATCTTAGTTCCACTTTGTAGCTGTTGATGCACTCTTTGCAACGGCGTTTAAAAATATCCTAGATTGTAGTTAGAAATGCCATAAAAATAGACTAGAATTTAATGTAGATTACAGTCTACATCCGTCCTGAAAGGGTTAAAGGCCTATTGATATCATCCAGACAGGCATAGAATATATCTACTTGCCAAGCCACAACTGAGCTTCTCAAGCTGTGGTTTTATAAATTTGCCAGCTCTGATTCCATTTCTTTGAGCCGTGATTCCATTTCTTCAAGCCGCGAATTCCATATCTTGGCCATGAAAAGCCATTTACAAGCTGCAAACTTATTTACAAAGTCCGTCCACGTTTTGCAGTTGCCCCAAATCTCTAATTTTGTCCTAAAAACAGTCGAACAGCAAAACTGACATTTGTTTCACTTAAGTGGCAACTGACCTGTGAACATGTGAAAATGCAGTCTGACTGCCCGAACGTGACGGCTGCTTTACAATTTTTAGGAAACGTTTTGGGTTGGCATGTTATTACATTCTGCAGGATATTTTGGCAGCAGCGTTGATTGTGCATTGGCAGTGTCAGATTGTGCTGTCATTGATCAAGTTTAATATTTTATGAAATATGTTTTCAAAGTGTAAACTGCAATTTTTTCAATCAAACAAAAATACATGACATTCGAGCCACAAGATTTTGCACCTACTGAAATTACAGTCCAACGGGGTAATAAGGGGCAGTCCTCTGACATTTGTAGAAATGTTGTAGCAGCTAAACTACCTAATCAAAATTTGGCAAAACTAAAAATAGAGGCATAAAGTTCAACATTTTTACTATATAAGCCATTTTCTTAGTGCATGATCAAGCCATGCCCATGAGAGAATTCAATATATAGCATAAAGCAAGTTAAGAAATCATACATTTATTACCTCTAAAAAATCACTGAAAAAAGAGTGAAAAATGAGATTTTGGAAAAAGTACCTCTGCTAAGGTCTGTAGCAAAAAAATATTTGTTGTATTAAAAAGTTTTACTTACATAAAAGTGGCACACTGGTGTTGGCTTAAAGAAGTGATTGACAGAATTTGCATATCTCATTCAAAAAAAAAAAAAATTGCGGCCACTTCTGCAAAACGGGGTAATATGGGACACCCCTAAAAATGCATTTACAGTAGAACCTTGGTTTGCAAATTCTCCAGTTAACAAAAAAATAAATTAACAACAAAGAATTTTTATTACATCTAACTTGCTCAGTGAAAAAAATTTAACTTGACAAAAAATTAATGCATTATCAGTCATCACAAAATTGGGCATAGAATGTCATAGGTAAAATTGAGCACTGGGCAGCAAAAAATGAAAAGTAAGTAACCTATACTATGATTTATTTCTCAAAAAAATATGATGGTTGTCACTAAAATATTCCTTTCTGTTTCAGGTACGTTTTTTCCGATCTTTTTCATTATAGTGAAATCACTTGACTTGATTAAAATTGCGCAAAATTACAAGTCATCCTGTAAGCTTACAGATACAGAAGAAATGCTATATGGCTACTGATTTGAAGCTTGCAGTAGGCAAGGTCATTGTCAATGCTCAATGGCATGTCCATGGATATGGTATTTCAGATCAATAATACTATAATGTATGGATAAGGTAATATCATATCAATAAAGAAAAAACAAGTAAAAAATAAAAATCACAGAAAATATAATTTTTCCTACATTTACATCATCTACAAAGGAAGAGGAGGAATTCAGAGTACTCTTTGTAATGGATGAGGACACTCAGCATGCTTCAAATATTTTAAAATCACGTTTTATTTCAAGTGTCCCTTATTACCCCATTTCCAGAAAAATTCGAGAGGCTTTTATATTGCGTCCAACACCTTACAAATAGCATATGGAATTTTTTAAGAGATGCCATATGATAGTCCTGCAAACGCAAAGAACTTTAAGGGGAGCGTCTACCCTAAAATTGAAAATTTTCACTTTTTCGGTTTTTATACTCATTTTAAAGCTGACATTCTGCCCTATCCAACGGTACCACTGCCATATCTGTACGTTGATTTATGATTTCACAACATTTCATGAAAGGAAGGCGGGTGGGGGAGTTCTTTAAGTAATTAGATAGGAACTAATTAGCTGCTGAGCTCTTTAAGTATAGTGTCTACTTGAGTTGTGCTGCAGTTACGTGTTTAGTCTCATCTTAAAGCCTGTCTCTTATACACATCTAGATGTGTATAAGAGACAGGAGCTTATTTCCCAAACAGGGTTAACTATTTTGTGACCCTTCTTTACATAGGTTTTCTTTAAAAATTAGTCAGTAATTCATTATTTGCAGAAGAGGGTTGAAACAAACACTGAAATGACAGGCAGTGATTGCTCTAACATATTCTTTTGTCAAATTAAATTCAGTGCAATTAGAATGCACGCCATGGGCTGGTCCTTTCTTACCCCATGAAGGCTGCGATCCTGTCTTACCCCATTTGACTATACTCACTGCAGTGAGTGACAGAGAGCGCATTTTCTCGTCGACGAAAACTAGAGGTCACGGACGGACGGACAGATGGACAGACAGACAGACATGGCAAGCACAATAGAGCATTTTTCCAAAAATGAGAAACTGCGCTAAAAACGCTCAAAACCGTCCCTTATTACCCCACTTGACTGTATGTGATATTAGTACAGCAATATTTCAGAAAAAATAGGATTTTACCAGCCCTGCATCCAGTCTTCCAGATATATATGATGATATTATCTAAAT